GACACAGTGGGCCATGGAAATGCTTGAAATTAATGGAATTATTGGAGTGAGATTGTCAAAAGGGCTTTTTTTCTGTTTCAACATATTAGGTTTTGCACAATTTCAAGAAAAAAATGCTTGTATTTGCGAGATGAAGGGAGCAAAATTGCTAATTATCATTTTTGGGTCAAGCCTTTTTTCTGAGTAACAGAAAATCTGGAGCACATTCAGCTTCCGCAGCTTCTTCTTCTCACTGCAAAAATTCATTTTAAACATACCGTTGCAGCCAAGTAAACAATGAGCAAAAACACCTTGTAGCTACTTCTGGAAATGTCGTGGACCCTTTAAACTAGTGATGTTACGTTTTCACGTTAACAACGATTTACAGTCCCAACTAAGTTGGACACCACACAGACTGAAAGTCTGGGAGTGATTAGTACGTTCCTGCAGACCTCAGTCATGCTTCCCAAATCAGATCCATCTTCTCTACCCCCACGAAACCTTTCTTCAATCTCTGTAACCACTGCTGGTCCCTCAATAGGGAACGCCATCTCGGCTGCGCCTATGCCGGCCTGGCCTCTGCATCTCTGCCCCAGCGCTCGTCGTATGCCGTGTGCTCTCTCGCATCGTGAGTGTTTTGCGCCCTCCGCGCCGTGCACATCCTCTACATCCTCTCTCGCTCTCTGGCGCTGCTCACATGACTCTCCGATCCATCTATTCACAATTTTCACCCTCATGCGTTATTTACGCCAGAAAGTACGGTGGAACGATTACAACTGAGAGTTGGCACGTGGCCAACAATTATTGATGTTATCACTTGGAAGACATTAGACCTTGTGGAAAGCTCTCAATTAGAACAGGAGATGTTAGAGATAAGAATATGGGTGGTGGAAGCTCATTTTGTTCTTCAGAATATATTCAGCCGCAAATTAGAATGAATGGTGGAGTTTTCCTTGGGTAATGTTAGCTTTTGTTTGGCCTAAAGACTGCTCAATCTATAAATGGCACAATCCTTTCTAATACTTCTTACTTCAATCTTTTATTCAAGTAAAATCTAGTTCAGAGTGTATGGGATCGTTCACTACAGCTGGTTTGCTTTACTCTTCACTCCCTGGAAAGGCAGTGTTTGTCTCCGCCTTGGCCTTTTTTGTCGCCATTACATCATTTCAACCAAAACGCAAAAAAA